GATAAATCTGTACTTTAATGACAATATTTATATATATTTATATTATTTTAACAAAATATTCACTAGTAAACACTTTTTTTTTCTAACAGCAATACATACCAATTACAAAATAAGAGAAGGTGTATAGAGTATATAACAACTTGGAACAAACGTGGAATTACAGCATATAATATAGTCTCAAGAAATTCTCCATTATATTCAGTATCAGAGCCAAGTATACGCATGTAAAATGCACCTACATATAATAAAAAAATCGGTCATTAAATTAAAGTTCATTATATTAATTAATAACACTAGTTTTACTTACCAACTGCCATGAATATTGGAGGAGTTATGAGTGCCATCCAGTCAGAAATAGATGCAGTAAATATAATAAAAAATTCACGATTAATAGCCAGTAAGAGAGATAATGAATTGGTTTTTATTCTATGCCCGAGTTTAAATTTATTTATATGATATATAGAAATTTCCATTATGTTATGTTAATGTTGTTTAAAAGATAATTCGCGATAGTTATAACGCGCGAGAACTCATTATTTATATACGTATTTCAAAAATATCCGATAACTTTTCCTAATACGTGTAATCACTTATTAACTGTCACACACGATCTTTTTTAAGTTATTCATTATTTTGTTTTTTTATTTACTTATATAGTAACTTAATGGTAAATCTATCGACATAGTACAGTGTAACTTTAATGACATATCATATAATCTATTTACTTTAATCTTATAGTTATAATTATACATTAAATAATCTTTATTCAAAATACTCGCAATAATTTTCTTAAATAAATATGAACTTTTCGGTAATCAAGACGTACTATTTAGTTGGGCCTCTTTCCTGTTCTTTCTTTCATCAATCACTTAAGTTTTGTAAGGATCAAAGGTTCAAGTTCTATCGGTGTCATGATTTCTATTTTAAAATTAATATATGATTCGAATTTCTCTAGAACATAAAAAAAAATTGACCAAATTTCTTAGTAATTTAGCATCATAATTTTTAACAGGTTTTGTAGAAATTGACTTAATTCTGTAAGACTGTTTGAATTCTTTTCTGCTTTGGTCTAAATCTTTGTTTCTTATGTAGATATTATATAAAAATTTTGTATACAAAAATCTTTCAAAAATTATTAAGAAATTTATGTATTAAAATTATATGGAACCACACTACACTAAATATTAAACTTTATAAAATTTGGTTTATACTGTATTCAATACTCTCTTTATATATGTAATTAATTAACATTTTAATAATGCATTCTTGTCAATTTGCTTACATTATAACCATTATAGCCATTAAAACATTGAGAAAACTGTTTTTTCATTAAATAAATTAACAAAAAATATGCAATACTACTGCGCTTTGCAAATCTCTACAGATCACAATATCATGTGAAAAGAGATTCTATAGATTTTTCGTGATTTTAAGAATTTTACAGAATTCGGATTTATAATAACTGATAGAGAAGATAATTTATAATAATTTAGAATTCCCGAGTCACACAAAGCACTATAATGAAAATGTGAATTATATCTATATTGAGAGTGTCAAGAGAGTTTAACAAATTATTGGGAACTTGCCAACGAAGTGACAGGGCGATCATATTGCGTGATAAGATGACTTTATTGCAGAAGATTACGTGTACATTGTTTGTTTGGGTAAAGTTGTTTTTGAATGGAGGTTCAGTTTATTTGTACGAGCTTTGACAAGAGAATAATATGTTCTCTTATAGATTATTGTTTGTATGACTAGAGCCGTTTAGGTTAGAGCTTGGGATAGCGAACCCTTTCACATATGTTTTTTCATATATAGTTCTTAATAAAGTTTCTGGTCGAGCAATAGTAATATATAGTTTAAGGTTTTGGTACAATTCACCGACAGCCACTTTACCGAAAATAAATCTGTAGCCAACACTAGCTATAAATCTGGCTAACCCTAACCCTAAATCGGGCCCAAAATTGTTGTCGGTGAAATTGATTAATATAATAGTTTAATATGTAGTAAAGTCAGTGTTCGAATTTATATTCTCAAATTCATATAAAGTTTAGTATTAATTCTGTATATATTCCTGAATATTAACACCTACCCGAGCCCGACTTGAAATTTAGAGACTTTATTGGATTTAGATACACAGAATCAGGCCTAATCACCTGAACTCAGAGAGAGAGAGAGAAATCGCGCTTTTTGACCAATTATTAGTGATGGGCATGCGCGTGATTTTTTGGATCCCACGCGGGATTTTTAATATGATCCCCAATTCAGGCCAGCCGGCCCGCATTAACATAATTTTAAGAAACTTACGATGTAATCCTATCCCGCGCATCACGCGCGGGATATTTTGGAAAACCGTGATTTGCCCATCACTACCAATTATAGTTGGTCCGAATTATGAAATTATACTGCGCCTAAAATTTTGACAGATTTTTGCGGATCTGAAACAACCACCTAACCAAATTCGATGAACATTTTCTTATTTCAATTCTACATGCCTAATTAAAATAAAAAATTTTCTTCGAATTTGATTAGGTGGTTGTCGAGAAAACTTAAAGTTTGGTCACACCTATAAACAAAGAACTGCGCCTAAATTTTTAAATCATATTCGATGAAAAATTTTTTTAATTCTACAGAAATTTAGAATTGAAATAAAAATTTTCATCGAACTCGGTTAGATAGTTGTCAAGAAAAATTCGCTAAAGTTTGAGAAATTCATGAATTGGAAAAACAAAGCAGTAGAGGCTAAACTTTCTTAAAACTTTGAGTGAAGTATTCTCGACAACTACCTAACCAAATTCGATGAAAATTTCTTTATTTCAAATATACATGTCTGCAGAATTAAAATAAGAAAATTACTTTGAATTTAGATAGTTGTCGTGAAAACTTCGTTCAACGTTTAAAAATATTTATCCTGCCTATAAACAAACTACGCCTAAAATTTTTTAAAACTTTGAGCAAAGTTTTCTCGACAACTACCCAACCAAATTTGATGAAATTTTTTTTTATTTTAATTCTACAGAAATATAGAATTGAAATAAAAAAATTTCATCGAACTTATTATCAAGAAATTTCGCTCAAGATTCGTAAAAATCTGTCGGAATAGTTGATATTATGTTTGCTAACCAGAATTATAGATACTGGCCCGAATTACAAAAATAATGCTGCGCAGTTGTCACGATATGGGAGAGCATGAACTATACGTAGGCCAATTTAGTCAATACCGTAAACATTAAAGATGGGTTAAATTTTATTTTTGAACGACAATTTATTATTGAGAAAGTGATTATAATAATTTTTATCTTTATTGGTAATGTTTTACTCCTCTCGTTACTCCTTGTATACTTTCTTGATACACTAACATCCCGCGCTAAACACATCAATTTAGCTTAAAAAATGAAGCAATAGCGATAGGTACGATTTTGTAACGACATATAAAAAATTACACAATAATTACCTCATAGGAGAAAATTAAAGAAAATAAATGAAAATGAGGCAACAATATAATAAACATGAAATAATAATGAAGTAATATGCGGTATGAAAATAAAATGAAGCATCATGAAGTAATGAAGTAAAATAAAGCGATCTCGTCCCAAACATTGCGACATTCCAGCATCTCGTCACCTTCATTCTCGGTTCGTGCTTTTCACGCGACTATTTTTACCGTAACACAGGCTCTGCAACAAAAATGTCACGGATTTGGCCTGCATTAATATAATTTAGGCCGTTAATCATAATTTTGGCTGGAATTACTTTTTTTTATAACTGATGTTAGCCAATCACAATTGATAGTCATTAGTGACATTTTGACCAAAGTTTAAATTTTAGCTTTAATAATTTCGGGTCGGGTTCGGGGTTGGGTTGAAGTACTGATCTGAAAGTGTTTAAAAACGACCCGGCCCGTTCGGAACACTACTAACAATATTTATTTGTCAATTTTGTAGATAATATAATAAAAACAAGGGAATACGTCATCTCTCGGTGGGAACCAAGGTAAAAAAATGCCTATTTATTTACCTGCCATTTAAAAAGTATCGTTCTTGATTTTCAATATATTAAATTTAGTAGTTAAAAAAATAATTCAATGCAAAATTATATTGTTAATATTGCGTACGTATATTGTAAAATTAATATATATAAAAAAAAATTTGGCGCTTGTATTTGATGAATTAAAAACGACACTTTAAACCAATGAGCATCGACAGCGCAGTATAAACAAACAGGTACGTATTATTTACCTGGGTGGGACAAATTCGCCTTTTACAGAATAACGTATTATAGAAATTATAGAAAACCTTTCAATTTACGAAAACTATCAATTTACAAACGACTTTATTGATAATATTTCCATTTTTTTTTTTTAATTATCATGCGGTACTCGGCAAATATGTTATACAAGAAATAAAAAAAGAATTCATCACAATAATATAAGATACGTATAAATAGGAAATTACAGTAATCTTTATTTATAAATAAAAGATAACTCAGAAAATCTTTGGCAAATACGAACTCAAAGGTCTTACATATTTGAAGAATGTCCTCGGCGATTTAATGACGCTCTTGAATAAATTCCTTTTTAATACTTATCATAGAAACTGCATTTCCCTACACTAATAAAGGAATATTTAACATAAATCTCTCAATTAAGTCGCTTAAAGGTTATCCCGACGGTGTGATAATTGTAAATAATAATAAAATAAATTCCTTTTTAATATTTATTATAGAAACTGCATTTCTCTATACGAATAAAGGAATATTTAGCATAGATTTCTCAATTAAGCCGCTTATAGGTTATCCCGACGGTGTGATAATTGTAAATAATAATAATAAAATAATAGTAGCAGATGAAGAATAATTGTTATAGCAAAACAGTACGAAGGTAATACCACAGCAAGAAATAATATTTTAAGCGTTCCATTCATAAAGACTTAAATACCATTTTTGGGCTAATTCAGAGTTTTTTTTTTTTAACTTTATGAGAGATATTATGTGATAAAATAATTGTTTTAAATTAAATAATATCAACAAACCTAATTTAAAAAGAATACTGAGTGTAATTATAAAGGTAAACACTAAGATTTCCGCAAAATATTATTAGCTAGCATAGCATTTCGTGGCTTATTATCGCTATCGGTGTTTGCAAAAAGGGGTGACCCCATGATTTTTGTGATGATGCGGGATTTTAATAATGAATCTAATAAGAGAATTTAATAGAGAATACGTAATCATACTTGAAATCAGCAACCCTATCAGAGATTCTCTTATTAGATTCTCTATTTCAAGATTTCCCCCACGATTAGCTAATAGAAAAATTACTCGAGTCAATAAAGATATAATTGACTATTAATAGAATTTACTGATTTACCCACCACTTCTAATTGGCTGTACTAATTAATCACTTAGCGGAGTATTTATATTATTATTCAAACTCTTTCTACTCCGATAGTGATGTGGAGGAAGAAATTAGGGTACCCACTATTAATAACGTATAAAAGAATTAGTTGTCTTATTTAACAAAAAAAAAAAAAAAAATCCGAAATAATTTAATTATCATATGAATACGAAAGAAATAATAAGATTAAATCTACCAAGTTATTTTTAACAGTTTATAATTCATAATCTATTCTTTAGATTTTTTTTGGCCACAACATTTACCAATTCGTATTCAAATCCATTTTTGTGGCTGCGAAGCGTTACGCTAATATTGAAGCACAACATTTCGATCGATCATCCAATAAATTAAAAGATCAATATATTATTCAGTAATGAGTACACTAATCTATTATAGTTGTTTCCCAATTGAGGTCACTAGTAAATAAATAAAAAGACATCATTGAAAATTATAAACTATTTGGTCAAGGCACGTATCAGCAAAAAATCATTAAAAAAAAAATAAATAAATAGGATTAAAAAAAAATCTTGGATAAAATAATCAAATTAATAAGATCCTTTAAATAAAATGGTTTTTCAAAAGATTATTGAATCCCTTAGCATTACAGATTATCTCCTCTTTTTTATCTTAATCTCCATCACATATGTCTTTAACTTTTATCACAAATATCTAAGCCGTCCAAATCCGCTCCCAGGTCCATTTCCTTTACCACTTATAGGAAATCTTCATAACCTTGGTTACGATATAAAACTATTCTATGAACAAAGTCAACAGAAATATGGAGATATAAGTGAAATAATGCTTGATCGAAGATGTATTATTCTCTCACGGCCAGAATATATTGAAAAATTTTTATCTCCTTCAAAATTTTTCCAAAGACTACCATATTTGCAAGGCACTGATGAAATTGGAATTTATGGACATGGGATCGCCTTTAATGAAGATTTTAAGAATTGGAAGTATAATAGTCAGTTCTTTACTCATGCATTATTGGTACCTAAATTTACAGATATGGCCATAAAATCTACAAATAAATTGTATGAAGAATTGAGCGGATACTGGCAATCCCTTGGAAAGCAAAATACTTCAAATAATAAACATATTTGGTCGCTAGAAACTGATTTTTCTGCATGGTTCCATAGATTTACAACAGATGTTATTTCAATAATACTCATTGGAGAATATACTTATACACTTGCCTCTTACTATAATACACAAAGCACTATTAAATCTGAACATCCTAATACAATGGTCGAAGATGGAAACAAATTTGTCAAAGCGAGCGTAAAATTTATCGAAGATGTCTTGTTCTTTACATTAGTTGACCCTTTTATAAGAAATTATACTCCAATAATAAGAAACAAATCAAAGTCTGCATTAAAAAATCGTGATTACCTATTTGAAAAACTTGATAAAATAATTAGTAAGAGAAGAAAAGAGATTGAAGAAATGCCAATAGGTACAGAAATGAAAACCGACATGCTGACTTCTTTAATCACTGCGAACGCAACAAATGTAAAATTTGTAGGAGACGAGACGTTTAAACCTATGACCAATGAAGTGATTAGAGGTAATATGTTAGATGCCTTCTTAGGTGGAACAGATACTGTGAGTATTACTTTTTGCCTTATATTTTTCTATAATCTTTTACTTATTTATTAACATCTGTTGACCTATATTTTAGACAGCAAATTTATTCTGCTTCATAACTTATTATCTTTGCAAAAATCCAAATGTAAAGAAAAAAATGCTTTCAGAAATTGACTCTGTTTTTCCTAAATCTTCTAATTTATTCTATCCATCACACGATGATCTCACAGGACTAAAATATTGTGATTCTATAATTAAAGAAACTAATCGTATGATACCAGTGATATTATTTACAACTCGCTATACTGATAAAGAATTTGAAGTTGGAGGATATAAATGGCCCGTTGGCACACAGTTTCATTTAAATTTTGTAGCGTCAAATAGACATCCTGAGATTTGGCCTAATCCTGAAATTTTCGATCCGGATAGGTTTTACAAAGATGATAAAATATTAGAAAATAAAAATACTTTAGCAATGTTTGGTGGAAGTTTACGAATCTGCCCTGGAAGAAAGTTGGCAATGACTGAGTTACTTTTATTAATGGTATTAGTATATAAAAATTACAATATTGAGTTGATAAATATGCATGAAGATTTAAAAATTATTGTGGGTGTTACTACTAATTGTCAAGAGTTGAAAGTTAAAATCAGTCCCCGAGTTTAATTTTTTGGTAGTTATTAATAAATTTCTTGAGTCTATCGAATTTATACTAGTAAATCTTATTAATTTTGAGAATTATAAACTGTCAATTTTTTTATATTATTATTCTTCATTTGGCATGTAAATACGGGCGGATTGGATTCATTTTATTAATTGGGTTGAGACAATAGAAATCAAGCAAATTTTTCTAAGTAATTTTTTTTCGAACTTTAACCAACAATAACTTAATAAAAACTTTATAAAATTAATAAAATTTTTTAAAAAAATTTTTATTAAATTTGATAAAGCTTTTGTTGAGTTATTGTTGTTTAAAGTTTCAATAAAAACAATTTGCTTTATTTCTATTGACTCACCCTAAATATATAAACTAATATTTTTTTTAAAAAAAAAATTAAATAAATAGCTAAATAAAGTATTCTAAATACAAGTGACTCCGTTATAGTAAAGTATTTTAAATTTTTTTATAAAAATTGATAGGTTTATTTGAAAGAAATTTAGTTAGAATAACCGGTGGTGATCATCACCGGTGTGTAATTAGCCAATAACAAGTAAACAAAAAAAAATTCCTTTCATTTACTTTAGGTTAGGGCGAGGCCTGAGATTTTATATAAGCATTCTAATATATGCAAATTTTAACAAGGAAAAAAAATCTTAATTTTTGTTAATCACATTATGTAATAATTGGATTTATATAAACATAATAGCATTATTTCTAGGATAATTTATACACATTTTTTTAATCATATATTTGTTATACTTCTTATATATGAAAAGCAAGAATTTATATTGTATAAGTCTAATATTTCTTTTCATATCAAAAATATTTGTTTCATAATAAAATTATTGAATTTTTGTTTCTATGTCTTCTATGTAATTCGTATATTTAGTGTAATAATCTAAAAGCTTTGTAAAAATAGTGTTTTGTTAGTATAAAGTACTTAAAAGAAAAAAATAAACAGAACAGAAAACATAATATAAAATTTTATTTAAGAGTTAATATTTCTAGTTTCAGTACAAATTTTAACAAAAGAAGAATTGTTTAGACTTGGTAACTTCTCTAATTATAATTTTAAAGTATTTGAACTCCAAGTTGTTTTTTATTATAAAGAAAAATTGCATTCTATATATATCTTTCTTATATATATAATATTATACTAGCAATACTAATAATTTTATCTATAATTTCTAGTCTGAAATTTATAATATTGTCCAACTTTAACCTTTAAAAAAAAAATAAAAATAAGCTGTAAATCTGAATGAGAATTATTTAATTTTGATATTGTTTAAATTGGAAGATTATATGTCTTTAGAAATTTATATATATATAGGTTTGATGACTTTAGGTGTTGTGAACCATACGCAAAAAAAAATGATTTTTCTTATAAATAACACGGCGCGGGCGCATGAGCATGACCATGAATACAATGCAACCATTTTCGTAACACCTTTATTTCTTAATTTGTAAAAAATTTTGCCAAATAAAATTAAATGTAAATAACATGAGAAAGTACACAAAATTCCTAAAGCAGGCAAACTACATAGCACAAATTTAAATACATCTCTTTTTTATGCAAAATTTTTAGACAAAGAACTTTATTTTTAATAGCATGCATACGTGTTTGTGAAAAAATAAGACCGAATTAGAAAAGTAAAAAGGTTCTACATATAAAGTCTATTTTTACTCTTGCATGGGGTTTCTTGCCAAACACAGAAAATTTCAACAAGCAAAGTTTCATTTAATACAAGATTATGAGTTAAATTTGGATATTTCAATATCTGATAGTGAACATGCAAATTCAATGCCTAACTTTGATTTATTTGATTAAATTCCGTACCAACGGTGATGCCACATTTTTAAACTTTTTAAGTTTTTTTTTTTTTTTTACTATCTCAAATTTGTCCCGTTTTTGTTCATCTGCCCATGTGTACAGTTCCTCCGTATGTTTACACTGCAAATAATGGATAGATTTGCTTCCAAATTGTATTCGCAATAATTCCTTAAAAAGAGATTTTAAAATTAATGAATCAGCGTCTTATTTCAGATGAAATAATCGAAGTATTTTATTTTCGAATTATTTAACAAACTTTATAAATTTCTTATCCAAATGTCCTTATTTAACTTTCTGATTTTTTTAAACTCCAACTTATTTTCAAAATAAATTAATTTTAATACAGTAATTTCATGAATTAGGCGTTGTGCCTATTGATATTGTGATTATCACCATTTTTACAAACTTATTATCTCAGAAATCTATTATATAATTGGTACCTTTAGAATAAAGCCTTAATTAGTGCTATAGTATTTTTTTTATCTAATTCACATAATAAATAAAAACAAGAATAATGTAACAATATTGGTGCCTAACATATTAACTGTAGATCTGTAACCTGCCAACTGAGAATGTTTAGCAAAGATTGTTAAAACCATTAATTTTACATACATATTTCACGCGTTATAATTAAAAACCTTATAGGTTAATATCCCTAAAAAGTAAATATTTCCTTTTACGAAGGGCCTATGTATTATTTTGATCAACTGACGGCTTGCTAGCATGTGAGAACAATGTTATTCTAGGAATTAAAAATCCGGGATCGACTTTACACAGTATATGATTACATAATATTCCACGGCTCGCATTTCTGATGATTTTTTACAGGGAAAAATTTTTCCACGAGGCTTTACATCGTCATAAAAATTTTAATCAGAAATGTTATGTGTAATATCTATTACATATTTAGCATAAACTTTAAAAAACAAATCAAATAAACTACTGACGATTAAATACTTACTTGTCGAATGCTTCTATAAAAGAATTCGAGTTATATCATGTGTTATATCGCGTTTCAATATTAGATTTATTATGAATAATAATACTATATTTTTTATATAATAATAACGGGTATTAAAAATATACTATACAGCTTAATCGATTCAACGTTGTTTTTTTTTTTATTGTTTAAATAATTAATTCGTATGCTTATTTATGAACTTTTCAGAGATATTTGTTACATTCTAAGAGAAAAATTAATTACTAATCAACCTGTAAATTAAAAAATTGCGTAATGTATGTAAAATACTTCAAGGCATTAAACCTCCTAATCTAATAACACATGTTCATTTTTTGATCACAAAAGGTTTAATTTTGATCGGAATAATCGGAATATCCACATGTATTCCGTATATAACTTACATTATATACTGTACATAAGTTACCTCGCAATGCATACGTGCTTTCCTGGAAAAAGTAACAAAATAAAATTATTATGGATATTGCTGTTAAAAGCTAATATACGTCGATCCATGTGTGATTATATGTTTTAAAATCGGGTTTAAAGTATACACTGTATATAAAGATTAATATAATGGTAATCCCATATTATTTGTGCTAGGAAATCACCAATAATCTATCAATCATATGTTTTTTCCCACTATTTTTATTTATCATTTCTGTTCATATATTTAATAAATAAATATTAAAGCCAAATTTATAGTAAATATTGGTATTACCATTATTGTTAGATCAGAAAATCATTCTATCATCGATTGCAGTTTTTAGAATTGATTCTCACTACTTTATTTAAGTATTGATGAAAAAATTAGAAACAACTTATGGCCCGTTTATCCGGATGTGACTCAACTTTATCTAAAACAAAAATTATTAAATCATAAAGGCCTCCCTCCCGATAATTTTATAATATGCAATCACGCATTAATTTCTAAAAATGTTGAACCTTAAATTACTTGGACGATTAATAGTATATGCGTTATTTGCCTATAAATACTTTGACCCAGAGGAGGAAAAAAAACTCTGCCTCATATTCTTGTAAGTATTTTAGAACCTCTAGCTTTAATATTTAAATTTATCAATTATTTTAAATTCAAAAATAATTAACCTCTATATTTGATATTTAATCTTTTTTTAACAGACCTCATAAGAATGGAGTTACCGCCTAATACTTGTGTTGAATGTGAAGAAGCTCTTAATGCCTATTTATGGTGTTGCCCATGTCAAATGGAAAGGCATAAGCAAAATTTTAAAAATTGGTCTAGCGGCAACATTAAAATTGATTTGCTTATTCAAAGTACTCAATTAAACGCAACTAAAAGTATGAGTTATCTTGAATGGATTCCATTTAATAATTTAGATTGTATTAAATATAAGGCAAGTGGTTCCTTTAGTACTGTTTATTCTGCAATATGGATTGATGGTCCAAGAAGTATTTGGTGTAAAGAAGATACTGATTGGATTAGGAATGGTCCAACAAAATGTGCATTAAAAAGGATTGAAGATTCTCAAACTTTAAGTGAAAAATATTTTGATAATGTCAGTATATTCATCATAAAATCTTATTAAATTAAAATATTTTAAAATCTTATTTAAATAATTATTTTCTAACTATTTTATTTAGATCCTTAAACATCATCAGTATCTATATGATGATTCGGTAGCTGATTTTTTTGGCATATCACAAGATCCTACGGGTTGCTTCGTTTTCGTTATGAGATTATATGATGAAAACTTGTATCATTATATTGATAACGCTATGGAAACTATTCGTTGGGAACATACGATTTTTATGCTTCAAGAAATAATAGATGGGCTTAAGCGAATACATAAAAATGGTCTATATCATGGCAATCTTCACGGTGGTAACCTGTTAGTTTCGGGTAATAATGTAAGAATTACTGATATTGGTTTATGTGGACCAGCTAATGAAACTACTTCTGGTATTTATGGTGTTTTACCATATATCGCTCCAGAGGTATTGGAAGGTAAAGAATATACGCAGGCCTCAGACATATATAGTTTTGGAATCATTATGTGGATGTTTTCTACATCTAAACGCCCATTTTATAAAGATTCACATAACCTTGACCTTGCAGAAAGCATATATGATGGTTTAAGACCAGAAATTATCACTAATACTCCGGAAGTATACTTATTATTAATGGAAAAATGCTGGCATCAAAATCCAGAATTTCGTCCTAATGCAGTAGAAATAAGTAATAATCTGAACAATTGGATAACATCTATACGAAATAATCCAAATTCAACCACTTCAAGACAATTTCGCGAAGCTAACGGAGAAAGGTCAATATTCGAACGTCGAACTATTAATTCTGATGCAATATATAATAGTAGACTATTAAATTTTCAACCCCTTCGTAGTGCATAATAATGAAATAACTTTTTATTTATATAATATCGATGCGTGCTTTAATTTATAATTTGAGTTAATCAATTATATTTATTTTTACAAACAATTTTTAATTCGAGCAAATCTAATTATGTAGTATTAAGTAATTAAGAATTTTATAAGATTTATATGCTGTAAGTTACATGTATAAAATAAAAATAATAATTTAGATTTATTGTGGTAACAATAAAGTATAAAGTTTGAGTTTTCTGTACTGGACAATGATATTGTAACAGGGTATATATTTTTTTATTTGATTTTTCGCTCAACAAAAGGAAAGAAATTAACCTTAATATGCTATATAATTACTAATACATCATAAACAATGCTTAATCTTTATCCAACTTTATATATTATGTATTATAATAAAAATTAGGGGAATTTACACATAGAGGCCCAAAAATGAAAATAATTACAGATGAGGGCCCAAAATAAAAATTCTTACACGTAGCGGCCCAAAATAAAAAATTATTACAATCAAGGGCCTGTTCGATCTCTGAGCTATACTAGGAGACTAAGCTACAAGACTTACATAGCATCTCTCAGAAAAATAGTAGCGGGGTTTTTTGTTGGCT